AAAAATAATAGTCACTAACATGATTTATCACATCTTAAAGTGTGTTGAGTAGAAGCCCAGAAGTAACAGGTAATTATGTGTCCCAAACACTATTATCCTGAGAACAATGTTTCGACTGCTAGGCGCTGATGAATACTGTGCTGCTGTGGGACTGTTACGTGAGCTCTCTCGGCTTCAGTGTTGCTGTGGACTCAGAGGGATCTGCCTGCTAAACCTGTGCTTTAATGAGACTGCCATTTTGAATCTACAAAAAAGGAATCGATTGAAGTGGAGGAAAACATAATACACTGAGAAAATCTTCTGACCGAAAAGTACAAAATCTCCACAGCCAGAAAGAGCATACTCGTGGTCAAATGATGAAAGTGCACCAAATGTAGACAAACATACTAACTCATAACATCCATTTAAAGCCACATACAAATCAACTATGACAGCAGCACATGGAGTTAGTCTTTCCATCCAAAAACTAATTGCATAATACCAGTAGGTGAACGAGGAATGCAAAAGGCTAAAGGCAAAAAATACACCGTATAAACTGGAAAATTCATGCTATGATACCATCTAATACTAAATAAGATATGTAACTTTGGTTAATCACGAGGCGGGGGGATATCGGTGCATTTAAGCAGTGTTCCAGGGAACTGACTGAGAGAAATGACAGATAATGAAACAAAGACAAAAATCTCTTTCAGATGGAGGGAAACAATACTTGTAATCAGAATGTGGTTGTCTGAACACTTTATTTATTTACAACATGTTTATTAAAAAACCACAGACTTAAATTTACTAAATAAGCAGAATTTGTGGAAAGACAAAATACTAATTTTGTGTGATGCCAAAATCCTTGTTGACATGTTCAAATAACAAACAAAACCGCACACAAACGCACATACCAAGTTTCACATCTTCAATCATCTTGCACTGGACTGAATTTGGGCTTAATTTAGGCCTTGACTTGTAGTGTCTGGCATATGTAGGATATGAAACAAGCCTTAGCAAGAATAGTTAAACAAAAAGCTCTTCATTGCATCCTCTAAATCATACCAGTAAGTTACGCATTGCCATGCAGTGGACAGCACACGGTCCCACTTCAGTGGGAAACATGAAGTCAATTGAGAAATGTGGCATAACAGTTATGATAAAGCTGACTCACTTAATAATATTGACTTGCAATTTTTCCATATCAGCACAAGCAGGTATCCAAAACAAAAATCACAAAGTGGTTCATATCATTAAATCAAATCACCTCCTCACTTACTTTAAAATCAATGTCAACTACTAAACCAGCTCCAAAATGTATTTACACTTTACATTAACAAAATATTCCAATAAGTTCTTAAACAGTTTAATTGTGTTTGTGTGGATAATTAATATCTTCATGACCAGTATGCCATTTACAACTTGACTAAACAATCACAAAATTGTACCTGGCTACAGCTAATAAGCAATGAAACTGTTGCCAGATATTGATATCCAGGCAACTATATAAACTGAAATTCAAACGGCAACAGAGATAAAGAAAAGCATCAACACATTTTTAAATAACCACCATGGTGATAGATCGGTCACTTGTCTGTATTCAATGATAACCTAGACTGGGCTCCATGGGATGAAAATTGCTGGCAAATTAAAAATAGGCTTTCTAAAGCCACATTTATTGATGCTGTCATGATTACCAATGATACTCTGTACACCATGAACTGCTCAGAAACGCAATGAAGTCAAGTCTAGCAATCCAGAAGCAAATGAAATCAAGGCCACATTCAGTACTTGTCTGACTGAGACTCAATTATTGGACTCATAAAATTGTCTAAACATAAGAACTATGCATCATCATTATGATCTGCATGCAAGTTATAACTGAACTTAATGATGTGGTTTACAAAAAGACATTTCCCTGAATTAAGATGCATTTGTTCGACTGACAGCCTAAATTGTAACCATCACATAACCCTCTTTTGTTATTATCCCCGCTACATGTTGACCCCTTACTACAGAAGAAGTGATCACATTTTCAGGAGTTTGACAAATTAAACTAACCTTTGCCAACACCATTTTGCCTGATAACACCTAAAGCTTACATTAACTGTCACTACCCTCCCCATGCTTAGAGACACAAAAAAATGTTAATAGGACAAATCTTCGTAACAATCAGACAGCAGGTCCATTTCCTCTTCCTAAAGCATCCAAGAGACAACAAACTAGGCTTGTCACATTTCCCATGATAGATCTGTGGCTTCTAATCAAGTTTGTAGTCCATTTTGCTGAAGAAGTCATCTACTGCAGTCATCAGTCTTATTCAACTGTAGGAACGCTGCCTGTGATTGCCACATTAGCCATCTGCATCAATTTGAGAGCAAAACAAAAAGCTGCAAAAGAATGCAAAATGTGATTTTGCATCTTGTCATTAACTAGCAAAACTATTTTTCAATAAGTATATACAGAAGGACTAAATATCTAGCCCTGTAATCACAAACACGTACAGAGTCAAGCTTTCTCATTCATTGCCAATCTATTCAAATGAATGACACAATTTTCACCTTTCACTTCACTAGAGTTTGACTGGCCAGCCTAACTATTGTGGTCAATGTTTGCCGTTTTATCATAATGTCAACATAAGCACTGCATTATTCACTAGAAGCTGTTTTAGGCGTTCAACCAACCCTGTGAAAATTACATGATTTTACCTATAAAAGCTGTAGCAGCTTAAAACCTTCACTAATGCTCCTATTCAGAACGGTCTGAAATGGATCCAGAACCATACACCAATTTTTGCCTAGAATGTTAATGCCAGTTTCACATCGTAGTGTTTCGCAGAGATTTCCCTTTGTTTCAAAAACAGAGGCTTCAATACATAACTATTATCTATATTCAAGCCCCTGCAGGAACATATGGTTGAACCCTTACAACTCTTTGCTGTGTCATTTTAACTCTGTGCTGTTCAGTAGTGACCATCTGTTTATGGCAGACACTCAGGCACAAACTGAGGTTGGACTAAATCAGGCATTGGCAAATTAAGCTTAAAAAAAACCCCAACAACAATACAGACAACAGGTCATCCAATTTTCAATATTTGTAAGAGTCATGCTGATATAGGCAGCCATCATTGATTAATGTCAGTAAATGCACTGATATTGCAAATAAATTAAGAGGCTAAGTAAAATACCTACATCACTGTAATGTCCAGCAAAAACTACTGAGGGTGCAAGGAAGCGTGATTAAGTGACAACTATATTGGGTCACCAAAAACATTAGTTACGTTTGTGTGCGAGTTAGCATGCTGCAAAGCCCAAAGCAGGCTGTGGATTTCATTCATTTTGGTTGGAGCATCTCATGTTACGTAAGTTAAACTCTTTACTCTAAGTTAGTAATACAAAAGGTCAAACTAGGCTACCTACCATCCAATGCAGTTGCACGGATGGTAGGTAGATAGCATATATCAAATGGTTATCTTACAGACCAAAACTAGACTTAATGTTAGATAACGTTACATAATATCATGTTTGAAGTCCACCTAACACACTTCTGTATTACCGTCAAGATGACGATTAACGTTAAGGGCAGTTAAACATCCACAGACATTGTGAACATTGTTAGTGGTCAAACACCAGAGTCTACACACAAAGGATTGCTAACATACACAACCTAACTTATGCATTGCTACCAATCCCGTGGTATAACGTTAACCATCACCCAAAAATGCTTGATTTCTCTCCTTGCATTTACTGATCTATTATTACATCTAACGTTATCTGTAACTTGACTAGTGTTTACTCGTACAACGGCAGCGTGCTTGAAGGATGCGCCGACTACAGCGGTAACCTTTCTGCTCTCGTAAAGGTTTATCGCCATTATGGAAGTAACGTTATTTCTTTAGGTTACTGCACTGGCCTGAACACAGTGCTACTAGCTAGCCAAACAGGCTCAACTGACTTTGGAGCTGACGCGTTACTGTAACGTTAGCTAGCAAGCAGGTCTCGCCACCACGATTTGCTCGGTCATTTTAACACACTTTCCTTTCGCTCTGCACAAAATCACCTTAACGAGCCAACAGAAAAGACATACGCGTCTTAAAACGTATAACAATACCTTCCCGGGCCTTCACCACTGTCGTGGTATGTAGCTGAAAACACAGTCCGTGTTGGGGACGTGGAGAGCTGGGACCAAAGATGGCGTCCCCTCCAAACTTCCACTACTTTGGACACTCATCAAGCTACTTTTCGTGTGTTGGCACTGCAGCGCACACGGTTAGTTTTTCGCACAGACTGTAATTCACCGACTGGCATACATCAATTGTTTGGCACATTGGCACAATGACTGCCACCGGGTGAAAATGTCAAATTATTTTGGTTTAAAGGGCACAAACCTCTTCACACCCCAGCAGTGCGTCCAGGCTCCAGGGCCACCTCTCCGTCTTCAAGTGGTTGCCTATGAAACGTCATTCATCGTGTGCAAAATTCTTATCGCGAGCACGAGGGTGAAACATTTTTTCTCAACCTGAAGAAATAAATCCATACATTTAGACTGCTTTTATGAACTATGCATAATCACACTTTGCGTACAAGCTGTAGACTGATCACTGGAAATGATTATGTTCAAAACTCGAAATAACTATTTAAATAACTGCTGGTCAATATCAAAAGGTCAGTTTTTACTTTAGTTACAATTATGACTGATAGCCTAAATCAAAATCATCAAAAATAGTTAAAGTAAAAACAATAGTCATAATATGACCTATAATTCAGACGTTTTGACATACTTCTATATTTTTATCATGCAAAAGCATGTAGTCGCTCCCATCTATAATATGCAGTCCAACTTAAAGCTGAAAAAAGGAAAGATTAATTTTATTCCAACCATAATCCTCATTTAAAGTTGTTCCATTTTGAAAGTCTGCATGTTCACAGCATTTCCCCCGTGGACCTTAAGAAGCTCTCTTGATATAGTGAACATTGATAATACAGTGCTGTACCATATATAAAACCAGATAATGTCACTGCTGTGTTTGACAACAAGTTTATTGGATACAGTTTTTGTTGTAGTACAGATACTTCTTTGGTAAAAAAAACAAAACAAAACAGTTTTTCAGGATTGAACAAATAAAAAGAAAAGTATAAAAAGTAATTTAGCTCCAAATTAGGCAGTGTATGGTGGGTGTTAAGATGGTGAAGGTGGATATGTTTTCCTGTACTTGCTCTGCATCCAAACCCGGTGCATTACAACTTTCTTTCCTCTGTTCACTTGGAGTCGTCTGTCTTCAAGATTCTGAATTTCTTCCAGTCCGGCATTGGAAAATAAATCATGAACTTCTTCTATAAAAATATAACAACACAGTTAGTAACCAGGGCTGAAGCCAGGATGTTTTTAAAATCTGACCAGACACTGAAAAAAGAAGTAGTCTCAAAGTAATTATTTAGATGTTTTAATATAATTGTATTTATTTGGTTAACTGTGCAGATTTATCATTTGTAGATTTGTCATTGTAGATTTGTATTTTCCAATGCTATTTCAAATCCCTTTGCATACTGCAAGGAGTAGAATTCTAGTGGGGAAATAATTAGTCCTTTATTTATTCAAAATAGTCATGTCATGTGCAAATATACTGTGTCAAACTATTCTAGTTGTCCCAAATACCCACCCATGTAGAATTAAAACTCCTCCTGAAACCTCCAAATTCCCAGAAAGAATACTAAGACATGACCCCAGGGTCCTAAAGGGTAGCCATGGTCCCGTCAGCAACTATTTACTCCATAGTAAAGATCTCATGGTTCAGAATTACCTTTAGTGAAAAAGTACACGCAGGTTCCATCTCCACGTGTGTAGAAATTCTCTGATAAGCACCGTCCTGATTATAAGAGATTAAAAGATTAAACTAAACGATTAAGGATAAAATATATTAAATTGTCAAAAACACACAGACACACATAAGATTATACAGAATATACAACAAATTAGGTAAAGTACATAAAAATGCAGCATTCAGGTGTGTGCTGCTATTTGGAGGCTCACCCTTCTTAAACCTGAGTTGTGAGAAGTCATGTCTCCCATAATCACGGAAGAGGAACGTCCCTCCATGTTTCAGGTATGTAGACAGTCGGTTCACAACTCCCTGAAGTCTGCCAATGAAATGTCAATTAATGGAACAATAAGAAAATGAAGAATCAAGTAGCCTTAAGACACAATATAGGCTATGTATTTATTAATGCCTCAAAACATATAAGAAACAGCTAAACAAGTAAAGTATTACAAGCTGAAATGTGTTAAATGAACAGTGCTAAGATACCAATGTAGGTGCATTTGGTAATACTACATCCTAAAAATTAAAATAGGTATGTTGCCATCCATAAAAGTGAAGGCGGGTTTAGGGGTGTGATATCAGCCTGTCTGTCTTGTAACCTTCACCTACCGGTCCGGATGAATGGAGGACAGCACAAAGACTGCTAGAATAACATCCAGGCTCTGAGGAGGGAAGGGAAAGGAGGCCACCTCCTCACAAATGTCGTGGACAAAGGCATGACACACAGAGTCATCGTATTCTGGATGGTCCTATATGGGAGAAAATAAAGCTTTATCCCAAACTGGTTTACAGTGACACAAAGTACATTTCCAAATAGCTACAATTTTTTTGTTTGTATTTCAACTATCCATTTTTAACACCATTTCCAAATGTCACGGATAATGAAAAAACTAAGTTCCCTGTTCTCTCTTGCCATCACTTCTCTGTCATACTGAGTGTGTCTTAATATTGAATGTCTTAAATATTGCAAGTGCACTGCGACCTTGACCTTTGCACTCTATGCACTATGTAAGTGGCCGCTTATAAGGAATTATGTTAATTTTATAATTTTGCACTTTCTTTAAGTTGGGTTAAAATGTAAATGTATAGTATCACTACAAATGCTGCTTTACATAATCCAATAATTTATTATTTGTTTAATATTTTCAAAATGTATGATACAAATCTCTGTTTTCATGAAATATTAAAATAATCCACTAAATTAGCTAATGGATACATCTCGGCCTGTATCAAGAAAATTTTATGTTTTTTTTTTTTGTTGTTTAAATGTAATTAATCTATCTCAGTTGATCAATGTCAATTGTAGCTCTAAGAATAAAATAATTACATTCAATATACAATTAATTTTGGGTTATCTTTACTTGCAGATCAGTATTTGACTTCACATGGTAAGAAGACTAATTAGATGGCACAGATTGCACACATGATGATGTCATCTCTTGTGCATTACTGAAGTAGGTTTCCTTGTGTGAGACTTTCTTTACTTTAAAGACATCATATATAATCCTTCTGGGGTATTTTTAATTACTTGGATGCACACTATAAGCGAACAATGGTCTAAACTATAAAATCTAATTTGAATCATCCCAGAAAGCTCAAAGAGTGACATTAACAACAGCTTTACAATGAATGAAGTGAATGTATTACTTCATCAAATGATAATGTAACCTAAATATTTTAACAGTCTGACATGGGGGATATGTAAATACCCTCAACTTATTATCTACATGACCACAGTACTATAAATACACCATTGCTAATTTGAATGGGGGTTTATATAGCTTTGGTTGTTTTTAAATATAAGTAATATTTGTCAGTATTCCTTTGACTAAATGTATTAACACCAATACAGTATATACTCTGCATGTTCATACCAAGCAATATTAGAAATGCTTACCTTCACCAGCTGAATTGCACATGGGGAGAAGTCACAACAGTATAAAAATGCATCAGTTCCTCTGTGAAACAGAACAGCCAACTTAACAACACTTATATAAATACATAAACAGTACAACAGTGTGATAAAGCACTGTTTCCTTTTATGGAGCTCTTATTCAGACATTTATTGCTTTGATATCAATTATGCTGCTGTCCATAGAACTCAACAAAGATGTTACATGATATTATTCATGACGTGCCACACTTTTTTGCTAGTTGGGGGATGTGTAGCTGGATAATGTCATGGTGCATGCACTATAAACATAAAACAGTACTTTTTTGTCCAATATTGGATGTATGTGAAATGTTTTGCTTCTGTAAACATAGGTTGCATTACATATAACCCATACTGTACTGTGCTCAAAATATATACTCACTTTATGCAATTAACGATGGGAAACATACTGTTACCCACTCCACATCCAACCTGTGAAGAAAAATATCTGTATTTGTGTACATTTATACAGTTATCTAACAGCCTACTACTTTTTATATCAGAATTATGTCATGGTCCATATGCAACAGTCCATATTATAACAATCTAAATTACATCTAAAACATGTAAACAGTTTTGAAAACCTCCAAGATCCTGAAAGATGCATGCTGGCCAGGGAAAGTAGTAGTCTGAATGTGAGCTTCATTTTTTTCTAGCGCTGCTCCTTGACAGGTCTCCTGATTGGAAGTGTTTCTGTGATGGGGTCTGGTCTCTGTGCTGGATCTAGTAGATAGTGGGTATGCTGCCAGATGATCATGCAGACACGTGTTTGTGGCGTGGCTTTTTGCACCTGAAGGAAGCAATTCTGGGAATTCTAAAAACAGCCACTTGCGATCTTTAAAGAACTTGTCCTGGTGCATCTCATAAAATGTGTCCCAGTATTGCCAAGCTTCTGTGTCGAATTTACCTGCGTGGAGAAGATTTAAGAATATGTTCACAAAGGTTTTATTTGCCATGTAACCCCAGTCAAATCTAACTTGGAGAATATTTTTGTGAGAGTATATTCTTGCCTTGTTCCTTTAAAGGAATTTGTACGCAGGAATTTTCTTCCGCCTTCTGCCGTGCGTTTTCTTTATCCAGTTCTGTCCATTGCACATGATCCCTAAAATATAAAGCATTACAAACGCATCTGTTGATACATCTGTTCAACTACAGTAATTAACAAACTGTATCAAATAAAAGACAATACAATACTAAAATATATAAATCCAGATATTCCAAATCCAAATACTGTTGTGTTGATCAAGTTGATCAAAAAGTTCTTAACTGTAACCCTAAATTTCAGATCAGCATTGTTAAAAGTAGACACACCTACACTGTATTCCTACTATCTCCATAAAAGGCATCTACAGATGGGTGACAAATTAAAGTCTCACTGACCACATGTTGTGCTTAAAGATGTCATCATGATTGGTCAGAATCCGTGAACCCAGTGGGGCTGAAGGTCTTCCTCCTGTGCTCTTTAGTCTTGGGGATATTCTGCTTAAAACTTTAGCCAGTTTGGCTACAGAGAAGCTCCGCAGTTTATGCATTTACGCTGTAAAAATGCAGGAAGAGTTGAATACATTTTACAATGAGTTGACAGTGCACCTACAGCTAATAAAATGAATGGGAGCTGTAGCTGTTTACAACAGGTCCCTGTGTGCTCAGTTAAGAACTTACCAAAAGAGATTTTTGTGATCGATTACTTATGTAATTGTGAGTCGATATTACCATTTATTGGGGGGGGGGGGGCATCATTGCTATACTGCATATCACAGTGGTAAGTAAACTGCTACATTTAGCTTTTCCTGCTCATCAGGCTAGTACCATAAGAATTTATTAGGAAATAAATACAGGAATTAAAATAAAAAAGTTAATTAATTAATTAAATAAATAAGATTAGATTACTTTATAAAATAAAGTAATCAATAATAATAATAATAATTAATGACACAATAGAATAATGTATTCATATTCAACAATTAATTAATAATAATTACAAAATCACCTTCTTCCCACCCCTTCCCACCTTTTAAAAGGAGGCATTTGTTTTGGCAAGATTAATCTAAGGATATAACTTGTATCTTAATGGTTAGTGTTGTTATGAATTGGATTTTTTTTTAAATGTTTTCTTTCTGAATTTGTGGAAATGGACAGACTTGGTTCAGACGTCTGAATTGTAGTCCTCACTTCTGATGTCATTAAATAAAGTAAAAACAATACTGTAACTACAGTAAGTTTGAATTTTAGGCTACTTAGTCACCATGAAAAGCATCTAAAAATAAAAGGTATACTGAAATTCAACAGACAATGGTATGGTATTTCAGTGTGATTAGAAGGAACTGCAAAGGGTAACACCTTATTTGGTTATTTGAGAGGAGATAGACAGGGCCTGTTTGGGTTTTAATATGTCAGTAAACATCTCACAGCTTCAGTAGAAAGCTGCAACATGCTAATATATAAAATATAAATATAATACAGTCAAACGTTGTGAAAAACGATTATTTTTCCTGCTTAAAAGCTTCTTAAGGGGAAATACAGAGGGAGAAACTAATGGTTGAGTTCAGTTTTTTTTTTTTTACATCTATTCTCCATGATCAACATAGCAGCGGTCGACAGGAGGGCGCTATATTTCCAGGCTGGGTGCTGCGCACTTTAATTCTTCAACTAGAAGAAGAACGCTTGCAAAGACTACAAAAATGGAGTGGGAAGCTAGCATTGGCAGCTAATGCCGCGCCGATCATTACGCGACATTGTTGTCAATTAACCTTTTCATTGCTCATATCACTTATTTGTTTCTCGCCCCTGGACAACTAAGCTACCCAGTTCAGCTAACGCTGCGTATAGCCACGACTTTGTAACGAAGTCAACGAGCGCTAACTTTTAAGTTATGCTAGCTGTTAACTTTTCGTGTTAGCTAACGATAAAGGAGGGCCAGGGAGGTGGTTCGGTGGTCTCGAAGAGGTGGAGCGAGGGGTTGCAAAGTTATCGCCCTTACCTGGCTCTGGCTGTGGTGTTGAGGTCAGGTGGTTGTGTCTTCTGATGGTACCAGACAGTCGTCCTCTTACAAGAGCAAGAACAAGTGCACCCTGCTGATGGCGCACTACCGGAGAAAAGGAGCCATAAACGCCACTGAGCTGCTGGACCAGAGGAGCAGAGGTGTTGGGACTCTGATCAGACACAATATGAAGGTTCTTAGAGGTATCCTCCTCCAGGTAATGGAAAAGACGATGCGTTTAGATATTCATTGTACCTAATCGGTGTTAATGAATGTTTTACTAATATACTATACTTCTGTGCTATTGTTATAATGTAGGACAGCAGGAGTTTTATTAAAGTATGGAGCAGGACCTCAAAATCCACAATAACGTATGAGAGTGGAAAAATCTACTTTGACAATTACCAGAACTGCTACAGCTGGTGAGTATGAATAATTGAATGATTTTAAGTCTTATTCACACTTACAATACAAAATAATACCTTAGATCTATAGATTATTTGCAACATCTTTAAAATTGGCATGCAAAAGTCACTGTTTTTATCTCTGAAGAAGTCCAAATCTGAGAATCACTGCAGGGCAACTATGAGACCTTGCAACCCAATCTGAGAGATTGCCTTCTTTTACGAATTAGGTGGCAGGCCTTGTCGCTCTGAAGATATTCTGTAGCTTGCCAGATACAATTTGATGTAGTTTAATAATTAAAATCAGTGCTGCTGTGTGATTTGGAGCAATGTGAAAACATGAGTGTATATTGCGATGAAAGTTGCAGTGTACATGGCATTCAGGTGTAAAAATGTAAGGGACACTGACAACAGAATGAATGGTTTATACCCTCTCAGTTAGTGATTCAATCTTCTGGCTTCAGTGTTCACTCAGAGCCTCAAGTTCTATACAAGTTGCCGCAGAGGTCTAAATTGGAGAAATTTGAAGATGCCTTGCTGTGTCAGAGCTCAGTTGTAAGTGAAATTAAACATAAACAAACATTTTGTTTTTGTTTTTCAAATTAAAGCTGTAATCACCAGATTTTAACTACCCAGATTCAGATTGTCATTTAATTTGTCTTGTTGACAGGACAAAACATTACCCTCGCCCTCTGATCATAAACCCAGCCTCTTGGTTTTGACAGCCGATAACTGGCTGTATCGCCTTTCAGCTGAAACAGGAGAGGAGCTGCAGAGAGTTTACCTCTCTTCAAACCATAAGTTCAGGTATCATCAAGTCTCTGTGTCCTCTGTTCTTTGGGTGGAGATTAATACATTTGTTTTCGTTGATTTAAAAATATAAAAAAACGTTAACCTCACTCTATGTTGTTGTTGTTGTTGTTGTTGTTTTTGGTAGGTATCTTGGCTGGGATGTTTCTCAAGAGACATTTTATGTTAAATCTGTTCAAAATAAAGTAACATCTGTAGCACGACAGGTAAGTCTATTTATTTTCATTAGATTTGCGGCTAGTTGAAGGGTGGCGGGACACTTTATTAGTGTTAATAAAGCCTAGGATCTTGCTGTACATGGAATTTCTCAAGTTCATGAACTTAATCTAACTTGCTATAATCAAGAAAATAAATATAAAATCAGTCAAGGATTTTTAACTATCACTAGAAAAGGGCTGCACCTAATGATTTCAATTATCATTTAATCTGTCGACTACTCTTTAGATTAATCGATTAATTGTCTGTTTTGCTTGATAAATGACTAAATTGTTGCCCATGAATGTTCTTATTGATTAATCAATAATTCATTTTACTAATTAAGAGATATAAGAGAATTTTCTTTTTTATAAACAGGCAGGTATCAGTCAGAGTACAGTGATGCACCTCGCCATCTTTCATGTTTTCCCCTTGGAAATTGTGGGCATTTTGGAGATCAACAAAAAAGTAAGCAGATTTGTTTGTAGTTTATTTTTTTATTTTACAAATTGGCCTGCGGGTGTGATACGTCATTATTAAAATGAGTAACTTATTCTTTCAGGTATTTGGAAATGGTGTTACTGATGTTGTCCTATCTCAAGGTGTCCTTGCAGTATCTCACAGCAACAAGTCAGTGAAGCTGTACAGCTTTGAGCACATTGTCCAAAGGGTGTGTATTTCTTTTTGTTCCTGAAAGACTGTCATGCATAATGGCGAGAAAGCCAAATATTTGACTGAATCAAATTGTTAAACTCTGCATCAGAAAAACATTTGTTGAAACCTGTACCTGTGAATGTTTACATATTCAGTGCTTCATTATCCTTCTGGCTTAATTGCTGATAATATCGCTGTGTGTCTGAATATTTTCTTTGTTTTTAGAACTTGTTAGAGAAGTTAACTCTTGGAAAGCAGAGTTCACTTCCTGGAGGCAAAATAGTGGGAGATTTTCCTTTTGGTATCCCAGTAAATCTCCAGATCACAGGTGAGTCTGTTTTTAAGTCTAGATCACCACTGATATTAAAGATATATGTTGACCTACTTGGCCACTGTGAGCAGGAATGTTTTTCATTTCAAAGTAAAGTTTTTTCCTTACTGCACAGATTGCCCTCCCGTGCTTTTTGAGTCATGCTCTGATAACGGTATCCAGATTGGAGGCTACCCATGGCACTACATCTTTACACCACCGCATAAAAATCACAAAGGGACTCACCACATCTGTTCACTGAAGGACAGCACTATGGTGAGTTTAACGAATCCTCTTTCACCATATTCTGTAACATGACATTTCAATAATAATTTGGTATTTGGAGCGCAAAATGTAGCGTGTTCTTTGCTATAATAGATAAGTATCCCCAATATTTTTGTGACTTAACTTGCCACCAAATTGGCCAGAGCCCACTGAATGTGTCAGGTTAAGAGGGGCCACAGATGTCTGAGACAGGCTAGCAGGAACCTGTAATCACTATTCAAAGCCCCTCAAATGGTCTAACTACTATTGTGTAGATCTTTGCTGCATGTGTAACACAAGCTTCTGTGTATGTTGCCTAGATTATTCCAGATTTAGTATTTTTGACGACCCTCCTCACATTAATGTCTTACCAGAGACAATTGTCAGCACCTAAGGCTGCATAATAATTTGTGTGAGAAACGATTAAATCACGTTGGAGCCGCCACCGTTTCCAAAACACAAAAGTTTTTTTTCTAATCAATGTGGTGTATCTGAGATACTGGTAAAAACAAATACTGTATAAGTTTACAATGTAAAAGAGAAATACATTTGTGATATTTTGAAATAGTACAATACATCATTAGCAGAAACCTATTAAGCTGAAATCTCCACCTGAAATTTAAAGTATCAAACAGCACTGTTACACAGTTTGAAGCTCAAAAGCTGCACAGAAGCTGAATTTTACACCCCCACGAACAGTGGTTAAGCTGAACTGGAGCATCACTTTAATAAGTGTTTCCTTTTCCACAGTGGTGTGTCTGAGTTGTTGATTTGCAGACTCTGACGCACACTTATGAATCAAAGTAACACATTTTCATATTTAACTTGCATGCTAAATTTTCAAGAACATCAAGAGGAAACCTACAGTGAGGAAAATAAGTATTTGAACACCCTGCTATTTTGCAAGTTCTCCATGGAGGGGTCTGAAATTGTCATCGTAGGTGCATGTCCACTGTGAGAGACATAATCTAAAAATAAAAATCCAGAAATCACAATGTATAATTTTTTAACTATTTATTTGTATGATACAGCTGCAAATAAGTATTTGAACACCTGTCTATCAGCTAGAATTCTGACTCTCAAAGATCTGTTAGTCTGCCTTCAAAATGTCCACCTCCACTCCATTTATTATCCTAAATTAGATGCACCTGTTTGAGGTCGTTAGCTGCATAAAGACACCTGTCCACCCCATACAATCAGTAAGAATCCAACTACTAACATGGCCAAGACCAAAGAGCTGTCCAAAGACACTAGAGACAAAATTGTACACCTCCACAAGCCAAGCAATTGGTGAAAAAAGGTCCACTGTTGGAGCAATCATTAGAAAATGGAAGAAGCTAAACATGACTGTCAGTCTCCCTCGGACTGGGGCTCCATGCAAGATCTCACCTCGTGGGGTCTCAATGATCCTAAGAAAGGTGAGAAATCAGCCCAGAACTACACGGGAGGAGCTGGTCAATGACCTGAAAAGAGCCACCGTTTCCAAGGTTACTGTTGGTAATACACTAAGACGTCATGGTTTGAAATCACGCATGGCACGGAAGGTTCCCCTGCTTAAACCAGCACATGTCAAGGCCCGTCTTCAGTTTGCCAATGACCATTTGGATGATCCAGAGGAGTCATGGGAGAAAGTCATGTGGTCAGATGAGACCAAATAGAACTTTTTGGTCATAATTCCACTAACCGTGTTTGGAGGAAGAAGAATGATGAGTACCATCCCAAGAACACCATCCCTACTGTGAAGCATGGGGGTGGTAGCATCATGCTTTGGGGGTGTTTTTCTGCACATGGGACAGGGCGACTGCACTGTATTAAGGAGAGGATGACCGGGGCCATGTATTGCGAGATTTTGGGGAACAACCTCCTTCCCTCAGTTAGAGCATTGAAGATGGGTCGAGGCTGGGTCTTCCAACATGACAATGACCCGAAGCACACAGCCAGGATAACCAAGGAGTGGCTCTGTAAGAAGCATATCAAGGTTCTGGCGTGGCCTAGCCAGTCTCCAGACCTAAACCCAATAGAGAATCTTTGGAGGGAGCTCAAACTCCGTGTTTCTCAGCGACAGCCCAGAAACCTGACTGATCTAGAGAAGATCTGTGTGGAGGAGTGGGCCAAAATCCCTCCTGCAGTGTGTGCAAACCTGGTGAAAAACTACAGGAAACGTTTGACCTCTGTAATTGCAAACAAAGGCTACTGTACCAAATATTAACATTGATTTTCTCAGGTGTTCAAATACTTATTTGCAGCTGTATCATACAAATAAATAGTTAAAAAAAAATCATACATTGTGATTTCTGGGTTCTTTTTTTTTTTTTTTTAGATTATGTCTCTCACAGTGGACATGCATCTACGATGACAATTTCAGACCTCTCCATGATTTCTAAGTGGGAGAACTTGCAAAATAGCAGGGTGTTCAAATACATATTTTCCTCACTGTATAAGTAGTTATGTGCTCATAGTACTATGTGCAGTTTGCTATATAATTAATAAAGCATATCCTAGTTAATGAGTTAGTGTGATTTTTATGACATTAGGCAACCAATGGAATACAAAACATGGACTGTTGCTCTCTTGAGAGTGATTGGATCTTCTTCCACCCTGACAACTCAGGCAGAATCATTCATGTTGGACCTACCACCATAAAGTGAGTACTATAGTCAACTTTTACAAAAAAAAATAAAGAATGTACAAGGACACGGGGGGTAAAATGCCTGTGATGTGGAGGCAAATATACCAAAACAAATGAATTTTGAGACATTCCTGTTGAATGAAAATGGGTTTTCCTTTGCCTATGTTTTTCTCTTAAGTGTCCGAAAAATCCTCGGTGAACTGAACAGTGGTTTGCCTTCAAAGGTAGCTGAGGATTTCTCTCTAACAACTTATCGAAACAACAATGTAAGTGTCACGTTTATTTACCTAATAGGCCTACTATGTGCTGTACTCACAGCAAACTTAAATACTCATTGTGACATTGGTGGGAAATCCCATGTGAGAACTCCGGTCTACTCAGTTTTGGTGAAGCTAAAATGTGATGTATCTGTCTTCCATCTATTCCAGCCTACCTCGCAAGTCACTGTAACCTCTTCGGGCCGCACGGTGAAGAGAAGATTTCATCAGCTGGATGATGACCCAGATCAAGAGGTACCAAAGTGATTGCTTTAAATATTTATCCAGTATCCTTGCAAAGAAAAGACTTACTGTGCTGGTTTAAAAAAAACACACAGTAGGGTTCAAGCAAATTATATAGCTGAACATAAAATATATACAATATGTATATATACTCTCTTTTGAAGCCAGGAAGCAAACCCAGACTCACCTATTTCTTAAAAATCTTCATACTCTATTACTATACTATACTATACTATTCTGTTGTCAACCAACCTCATGAAAAGACCAAAACCAACAATGAAATGATCTAAAATCTGTAATTGATGGCTGAGATATCGCAGCAACACAACACTGGAAGTATCAAAACTTGAAGAGCAGAGTTAGATAGTCCATCAGCAAAATATTTTGTAACACCGTGCCTTTTTTGGCTTTTATAAATAGTTTGCAGAGCCGATAGATGTACAGTATCTCCATAATTCTCAAGTTCTCAGGCCACTCTTACACATGAGAACAAGTTTCTTGCGTCACCCTCCCATTAGAGCTTGACCAAAATCAGACCAGTGGTGACTGATACACCACCTGAGATACAGACGATCACAGTTCACAAGTTCAAAATGAGGAGATGAAGAGTTGAACATAATGATTGGGTTTCAAGCATCAGCACTTTTTTCATCTCCCTCGAAGGAGTGCTTGAAAATATGCATTTTATTCAAAGTGCACAAAGTTCAGGATATATATTATTATTATTATTACGTTATTGTCTAACATTTTCAAAGAACTGTCTCCTGGCCACATCCTTGTTGGATGCACCTGTAACCTATAACCTGTATCCCAACCCAAATACATTTTTGTGTAGCAGTTCTGTGGCGAGTTCACAACAATGAGTCTTTTACTCTGACAGACTTTCCGTATGGTGGAATATGAGGATGAGCTAGACCTTTTGGCAGTAGTGGTAACTAATGGTGAGGAGGGAGAAGGAAGAGCTCACATCCGACTACATGACAACCTGAGCGGGCAGTTACTGCGGACAGTTGATCTGGTTGAATCTTGGGATGAGGTGAGTGACTTGACATGACTGTACTGTTCCAGGGCCCCGAGGCCCTGAAACAACGTGCCTGAGGAAATCAGGGCAGCTGAGTCAGTAAACTTCTTTTTTTTTTTTTTTTGAGAGAGAGAGAGAGTTTTGAAAAGTGCTCTATAAATAAAGATGATACATATGTGGATTAATGTGCACTCTTCTCTTTCTTGTTTCAGACTTATCGACATGAAGTTTTCTTTGACAAAGACACAATTGTTCTTATTGAACAAAAGAATACAAACTTCTGCTGCCATGTTTACAAACTCAAGGCTTCCAGAGAATCAGTGAATTAAGCTCCTGGAAGGCATTTAATGGCTACTTTTTAAGATTATGTAAAGAGTTGTTTCCAACTTGGGTTTTTCTACAACTTTTCTGTAAAACTAATAATGCTATTTTCTGTAATGCTGATCATGTCTTTGTTTCCTTTGTGTGAATTACACTTGAGTAATACTTAAGTATATTATTTAAATCAGTTTAAGTTTCTGCACTTTATTGCTGTTAACAGTATTTAATATTATTTTGACAGTTTCTATTTTTTCCTAATTAAAATGTTATATTTTAGTTACTCTGTATGAATGCATCATTCTGTTTCCACCATGCTCATCCAAATATTAAGATATTTTAAAAGTTCCTTCCATTTAATATGTACAGTACTGTGAAAAAGTTATATGTGGAAAACATACTGTAAAGTAAGAATCCTTTCAAAAATAGACATGTTAATAGATTTATCAATAACCAAAATGCAGATTGAATGAACAAAAGACAAATCTAAATCAAAACGGCATCATTTATTCTAGGTACACTTTCACAAAGTCAGGGATTTTGCAGGCATATTGTCATTGTGTACAACAACCGTGCTGATCACCAATTCAATATGTAGGTTGAAACACACATTAAGTGAAACAGAAAAGGCACGTAATACCATCAAGGAAGCTTCTGATTGGCCCCAAACGTATTCTGCAACATAACTGCGACCCCAAACAAAACAGAACTATATTAAATATAAGGAAGAACAAGAAGTCCTGGAAGTGACGATATGGCCTCCACAGAGCCCTGGGGCGTGTTCAATCTCAAAACGTTTTGCACCGGTTTGCAACATTGTCGGGTTGAACGACATGTTTCCTTGCTGTATCGAATCCAATTTATTAGATGTGCTGCCGGAGCAGGCACAAGGCACATGTTTCCTTGCAACGTACCGCAACGGGCTTCGAGCTTTTTATATACAGTCTATGGCTTCGAGGCATGTTTCCTTCTGTTTGGTGGGCGTGTCACAGGTGTTGGCAAATCAGCGGCGACAAGTTTGTAAACAACGGTGCACAAAGTTTCTGTGGAAAAAAACGTTTTGCTACGTTTTGTCTGCGCTGAACTCAGCCATGATCTCAACACTATCGAGTCTGTTTACATGAAGAGATTAAAAACTGAGTCTGCCTAAATCCATAGATAAACTGTGGGTAGTTCTCCAAGATGTTTGGGTCAATCCTGCCGAGTTCCTTCATAAACCTTTTGCAAGTGTATGTAGAGGAATTTGTGCTGTTTTTGAAGGCATAAGTTGGTCGCACCAGATAATGATTTGATTTACATGTTCTGTTCACTTACTTTGCATTTTGTTAATTGATACATAATCTATATTGTATATACAACGTTTTTTCCACGCATAAACCTTTTGCACAGTAGCTGTATGTGATCAAAATCAGCTACTTGCCTCCACAACCCACAGTTTTAACGTTAGTTTACTGCACTAGTAAGGTGGTACAACCCGGCAAGAGACATTAAAACCAAGTTTTCTGGGGCTTGTTTGTAGGAATTTTAGCACTCTGGTAGATGTTGGCTCTCCTGCTTTAATATTTCCCTCCATGTATCATTTGGTGTCTGTTAGGGACACTTTAATATGAAATACGCCACAACTTAGAAAACCTGAGGTTCAAATTGGGGAAAGACTTTTTAGTGTAAACACGTTTGTGCGCAGCGCAAAAACCCTTTTGTAACCACAAAAAGTTACAAAACCTCTTTCCTCCAAACATTAGGCAGCTCTGCGTCATGTGACCGTGGTCCGTCCTCACCAGCCGCCACTTGAAATAGTTGTATTTGTGGTAACAGTTGTGCAGTCGAATCGCTCCCTGTCGTGCTACTGCTTTAATGGCGATGGAGCATTTGGCACAGTTCGTGGTCGCTCTGTCTGTCGCCTCCGCCGCTGGCTTTGTCTCTATAATATTCGTGCTAAGATGGGTTCTCCACTATAAAGAAGGTTTAGCCTGGGATGGAGGACTGGCCGAGTTCAACTGGCATCCGGTGTTGATAGTCACCGGATTTATTTTCTTGCAAGGGATAGGTGAGAGGAGTTTTTCGTTTTAAGAAATATGATGGGAAAACGTGAATTGTGCTTTGCTTTGAAGAAATGTAAACTAAATGAAAGTTTTGCTCAAGGCTAAGTTACACAAGCTTCCCTTTTCCAAGGATGTTAGGGGGTGGTGACCACGGCTGAGTATGAGTAATTATAAAAGCTTACTCCACTGACTAAACTTCCACGGTTAACTATGGCCTTAGCCTATAAGGTAGCAACCACAGATGTGAATTGAGTAAATTATGAGTTTAGTTTGATAATATGGCTTAACATAAGAAAATTGCTTCAAGGAAGCCTAAACTATTGACACATTTTACATGGTTTTACAACCTAAAAAGTAATTTATATAATGACATATACACCTTTAATTGCAAACTTTAATATGTGCCTGTCATTGGCTAGATGAAAAGTTTGGTTTTTAAGGAAAAATGTGTTTAATATTGTCAGAATCTGAAAATTATTCCTCATAATTACATCAAGAATTGATAGAATGACACTGAATGATCCTCTCTTGCAGCCATCATTGTCTACAGACTCCCCTGGACCTGGCAGTGCAGCAAACTAATGATGAAATTCATCCATGCAGGCTTAAACTTACTAGCCTTCATCTTAGCTGTTATATCTATGGTGGCAGTTTTTGACTTCCACAATGCTGCCAAAATCCCCAACATGTACAGTCTGCACAGCTGGCTGGGCCTGATAGCTATGATACTGTACTGTCTCCAGGTAAAAAAAAAATTATATTTCAAATTATTGGAAATAGTGGATAACAATGCAAGGCACCTTATTGTTTTGTGGGGCAGTACTGCTTTTGCTGTTAGTAATAAATGGTACGGAGTTTGACATTTTGCACCTAAATGAGCTTTATTGTTGCATGTTCAAACCCATGTACCTTTTACTAATCTGTCTTTTATGGAGCAACACACTGTCCTTCTCTATATGTAATACATTATATATAGAGAAGGACAGTATGTCTTATACATAATGTGATATTAAGATTATCTTTAACCACAAAACAATAACCTCTTATTCTTCTGGTCATTTCTAAAATACAGAGTGAACAACAGTCTTGATTAATATCTGACGAGTATAAAAAAATGTTTTCTCTTTCAATGATAAGCTTGTTCTTGGAGTTGGCATGTACCTGATACCAATCACACCTGCATCCTGGAGAGCAGCGTTTATGCCCCTGCATGTCTACAGCGGCCTTTTACTCTTTACCAGTGTTATAGCTGTGGCGCTCATGGGCATCACAGAGAAACTCATTTTTGGCCTGTAAGTATTAAAATAGATAAAGAAATAAAGGCTTTTAATAGTGTATTAAAATCTACAAAACAGGTGTACAATGTTAATGTGCTGAATTACCATTGGAATAACTTAATTTTTTGTACTTCATCACCAAGGAGCAACCCCAAGTATAAGGACTCTCCTCCAGAGGCCATCTTTGTGAACGTTCTGGGAGTTCTCCTGGTGGTTTTTGGAGCTCTTATTCTCTGGATCGCTACTCGGACGTCTTGGAAACGGCCCAGTGACCAGATATTGCATACTTTGCATACCAGTGGGGGAGGTGAGGACAACTCCAATGTTGGTCCTGCCCTGCCTCAGCTGTCTGATAGAACTGATGCAGTGGCCTGTGGAGAAGTCAGGAAAAGGAGTAACAAAGTAGATGATGAGTTGAACTGATTGTGAAATAACTGACTGGGAGCTGATACTGTCTCCAGTGTTGAATGTATGCACACCCAGTCTATGATGTTAAGAGAAAGTAAAAAAGAAATCTATTGTTTTGCTGATCTTTCCATATAACTTTCTCTCTTGCACCTTTTAAGAATGTAATGTTGATAGTACTTTGAGCTTGCTGTTTTTGTTTTTTTAAATCTAGTATTGTTGTCAGCACATGTAAATAATGGTGAGCTACTTTATAACAACATTCAAATAATGTGGGAATACAATTTCTTGACATACACTACAAATGAGCATTTTATAATCTCTAATTCCTCTGGGGTTTTCAACCTACATTTTACATTAAATATTTGAAATCTGTAACTGAATAGCCTATTTAGAAATATATTAATACTGTAATTTTTAGCTGCAGAAGATGAACAATATTCACACAATGGAACAGTAAATAAATATGAGCACCGATTTGTCGTTGCGACATTAGGCTAACCATTACTCTTGCTTACAATTACTGTTTTATATTAATTTCTTTCAAATATACATTTACAACATGGACCACTAACATTAATCGAAAGACTTGTCCTCACATCATGAACGCTGCAATTTGAGGTTGAGCCAAGCTCAAAATCTCCATCCTTGTTCTCGGATAACAGCAGCCACGTCGCAAGCAAGCGAAATGCTTCTTTTTTGGCTCTTCCCAGCTTTCTGTAGTTAGGTCGGCAGCGCGTTTGTTTTGGCTGTGTATTGGTTTATTGGCGTTTGGTGTCAGGTTGATCACCTGCTTTAAGGTTTGTAATCTACACATTAGTGTCAATTTCGCTGTAGTATCACGCACGGGCAACATTTTTTGTATTTGTCGCTGCTTGAGGCCCAACTTGCGTTTTTCATTGTGCGGTCAGAAGAGTTGGAAGCGCATGACATCACTGCGGACCAGAGTCCGGGTTTACTGTTGTAGGTAGCTGCTAACACAAAGCTAACGCTAACGTCTCTAGCCATAAAGTCGGGGTTGGGGTGGATAACTCACATTTTCTATGACCCAAAAACCATTTTGCTTAATAATTGACATAAAGTACACCTGGTCTTAGTAATTACTAATTAACTGTTGTACAACAAGGATGGCTACGCCAGCTCTGTAGTCGCTCATAACAAGGAAGCCTGGCAGCGGCAGAGGCCGGTTGGATGCTAACGTTGCGTGTTTTCTATGAAACTGCCGTGTGATTAGCGAAGTAAAACACCACATCAACGCGGAGAAGACTTATAGTTTGAAAGCGTTTACGACAAGCTATTAAGGATCATAGACACATAAATGATATGAATAGGAAAACCCCGTGCTAAGCTAACCGGGTGTGGGCAGTTGCACTGGCTGTAGGGTGGGGCTCTCTGTTAGCTTGCTGACGATGACAGGTCATCCCGGCTGTGGTTTAAACTAAGTTACATGTAGCTGAGAAATGATCTAAGTATTTGTCTCTTAACAGCTTACAAATTTAGCTCAGTCAGCTGCAGAGAAGACAGAAAATACTATTGGATGGTCATTTTTAACTGTAATCTGC